TACATGCAAGAAAATAGCAACTGCAACGCAGAAAGGTTCAGCCTACTTTTGGCGCGGAGGCCAAGGCCACGATGAAATGCTAGGCTCTACGATATACGGCTGGCTGTCTGACTAGCCAGCTCGTTAGAGCGGCGGTCATCGACGATGAAGAACATCAGTAACGCCAGCCCCACTGGCCGTTGGAGTCCCGCTCATAAAAGTTCCATCCGCGAAGGAACCACATCACGTCAGCCTGTCCGCATTGGATGAATCCTCGCTCAGTGTTCAAGTGAGGAAGCACGAGGCAGGTGAAGTTGTCCCTGNNCCCTGATGATCTCGGGCGAGTTACGCGCCCGGAGAACAGCCCAAACATACTGATCAACACGATTGAAGCTGTTCAGCGGAAGGACTCCAGGGTCAATGTACTCGCCCTGCTCGGCATACGGATAGTTGCTGAGAGGGCTTCCGTAGTCGCGATGGGCTTCTTCGATGTTGCGGAACATCGTTCTCATCGTGATAGCCTGGCGCTCGGCAGAGACGTTGTTGGGCCGAGTGTCCGCGTTAGTGGGTGGTGGTCCGTGCCGCTGCGCTGCCCTCCTTAGGCTTGGGCACAGCCGGTAGTGGCTCTCCACGGAGCGTGACGAAGGTGCCGTCAGCGCGTGCGCCGCCAAGAACAAGAGGAGGTTGGCCAGCCTTTTCAGGCGGCGGGACGATTTGCTGCTGGTCGGTTGACCGTCCCTGCCTTTGGGCCACGTCCTTCGGTCACCACAGGAGCTGCCTTGGGTGACGGAGGCGGTCGCGCTCCATGGAGAGGCGCCTTTCTGATCGGTGGCGTCATAGTCCTTGTTTTCCTCTTCGGCGGAGTTTCGTGAGAGGATGCCGTAGAGGACTGAGGTGGAGTAGCCGCTCTCACCCTTGTTGAAGCCACTTTGCCGGGATGACTGCCTCGCCGTAGGGTTGCTGCTTGGGAGACCTTGAGTGCGTGGCTGTCGCCCGCGGAATGGCTCGTGCCGGGGCTGCTGCATCAAAACGGCCGTAACGACCCTCTCGCAGATTGGCAAAGTCCTGCTCTGACAAGTAGGTGGTAGGATTACGCGGTGGTGTCTTCGGAGGTGTCTTTGGTGGTGTGACCGGTCGAGCGATGCCAGATCCACTTGCCTGCTCAGAAGAACGCGGAGCAGGAGGAGCCGAGTGACGGGTGCTTGAGTATCAACCCGGGGCAGATGGCTCTCGTTCCGGAACTGGTTGCTGACGTGCTCGACCAAGCCTTTCGGCCGGCGAATAGCGCTCACGACCCCGAGGGAATGCTCTGTTGAACTTGCTCTGGACGCTGCCATCGTAGATGCGGTGGTGGAATCTCGTGTTCGCGAGCATCTCGTTCAACTGGCGACTGCTGATTGAAGCAAGGGCTTCTGGGATGTGGAGGCTACCGCGGACGTGAATAGTGGGCACACTCTCCCTTTCTCCACGCTTGGCATGGATCAAGTCCCTCCTGAAGATGTCGAGCAGGCCTGACATGATTGCGGCTGCGGAGGAGTCACGGAACGCACAAACATCACCATTGAATCTGAGAATGCGGAGTGGCGGTTGCCCTCCGGAGCGAATTGTTGCCTGGATGATGATGACCGCCTCCTCTGATTTGTAGAAGCGATCATTCCAGCTCAGGAAACAAGAGCGTCCGAAGTCGAGCTCTGCGACCCCATCACGCCACGCAATGGCGAACCGAGCATCGTGGGTCGGCACATTCTCCCGCCCGATGTTGGGCGTGCGGATGTACTGGAAGACCTCGATCTCCTCCAGGGTGGTCACATAAAGTCCATGACGGGCATAGTTGTGTGACTCCCAGGGATGCCCGGAAAGTAGGTCGGCAAGGCGTCCGCCGCTTCGGTCATAGACTTTCTTGGCGACGTTCCGCGCCTTCTTGGCAAGGCTTGCGCCCGCCGACTGTTGCATGCGTTCTTCACCAGTAGAAGTAAGACCTCGCTGGCGAGTTGCATGTGTAGCGGCTCGGGGCGCCAAACTCATCACATTGAAGGGCCTGCCCTCTCGGGCGGCGACGTCCCTTTCTCGACTCCCTTGTGTGAGTCCAGAGAAGTCGGTGCGCGGCTCGAATCGAGCTCCACAGCCCATGCAATGGATGAAGCCGTCGTGGTGCTTTGAGAGACAAATCCTGCAAACTCGAGTGGGGAACACAATGTTGACCTGCACCGGTCCAAAGCTCTGGCTGGAGTCGCTGACGACTCGGGATGTGGACCTGATTCCTGTTCGGGAAGACATAGAGGCCATCTCTGTACGCCTCATAGGCGATGCATTGATCATACTCGGTAGTTGCCTCAAGGACTTCGTCAGGAAGGTCAACGTTGGTGTTCTGGCCGGCTATATTCACGACAAGTCCGTGATCGCCCTCGTCCACGAACCTCAGGAGATAGGGATTGCGGCCTCCTCCCGCCAGCTCCAGCCAATCATTGAAATCGCTGCGCACTTCAGCCTCATAAGCATCCAAGAGACATCCAGAGCCGTGGCGACTGATGAACTCGGAGTCGCGCTCGGACATGATGGAGAAAGCCTCAGTGGTGCTGTGGAGAGCAGCAGCAAGCCGTTGGCGATACAAGCCGTAGGCACGGTTGTGCCACACCGGCTCGTTAGAGCGGCGGTCGTAAATGAAAGTAATGTACCGATTGCTGATCCAATCCGGGGTTTGGATGCATCCACTGGCAGTCCTCAGCAAACGTACTCCTTCAAGCGCCGCAAGTTGCAGATCAATGACAACCTCGATCTCAGCGTTCTCACGAATGCCTTCGTTGTCTGTTCTGACCCAGTTGGGTTCGGCCGAGAACATAACGAAGGGTTTGACAGGACTTCCGTCCGCCGTGAGGCCTCCAGGGAATAGCCCGTTCAAGATCACGCTGGCAATGTTCTTCCTCTTTGTTGCGTGGTAGGCGATCTTGGGGATATCTGCGAAGGCAGCTGAGAGGTGGCCATCGTACCCCACCGGAGGACGGGTCATAGGCGATGGATCCCAATTGGATGAAAGGTGGTAGATGTCGCTGTGAATGGCGACCCAATCTTGATCATCCGTTAGGATGTCGGAAGAATGCCCTTGAATGGCTCGGATTCGCGTGATGAAGTACTTGCCGTCCTTCAACGCGACGAACACCTGGAATCTTGTTTTCGGCATTGATGCCAAGGTGTCGATCACATCGGTGGTTCTGAGCCTGTTCCAGATCTTCTCAAGGTTGGCGAGGAAGCTGGTCCAAGAGACACTCAAATCTGCCGCGTCAAAGTCGGGATGTGGGCCGGACGCAGTCCGCATAGACCATCCACGAAGGAGGTAGGTCATCTTGCGGTTGAGCGTCTCCATCTTTGAGGCATTGCGTCGACGGAAGTCACGATCAATAGGTGGAAGCTCAGGACCCATGATCCAATGGTAGCCTTCCGTTGGAGGCCCAGGTGCGGTAGTGAACGCATACTGCGATCGGCCCAAGCTTTCGCTCATCGGTGCAGGCTCATCAGCTGGCTCATGTGTCCTACTTGCAATCGGCAAAGTAAGGTCAACGACTGGAGCCGCAGCGTCTGATGTGGTTGTTGTTGCAGCCTTCGGCATAGCCTTTGTCTTGGGCACAGCGGTCTGGAAGATGATCTGCTCTGCCTCCTCTTCAGCCTCGCCATCATCGGAAGACTGTGGAATGTTGAAGAAAGGCGGAGGGCGGACCACGCTTGTGGCAATGAGCTCCTCAGCAGGGCCTTCGCCCGCCGTTTGGTCGGGAACGACAAACTGCTGAACTTCACCTTCGTTCTCGATCCTTACGGCGTCTGCGTCTGGGATTTCCTCATCGAGCTCTTGGATGAGGGATACTCCAATAGTGGCCTGGATTTCTTCTTCATCCTTTCCCAGAACTGCTGCAGAGGGAGCGAACATAGCGTGGTCGACCTCGGTCACCTCTTCCATGACATTCGGAAGCAACGGCATAGGATCTTCTTGACCTTCTGATGGGTTTGCGAGCAATGGTGCATTGAGCACGATCTCTTCGTCTTCTCCTCTTTCCAGCCTCAGCTGCTCACCCCTGAGTCCAGAGATCGGTGGCAGCGGAATGTTGGGCTGGGCTGTCGCCCCCCGGAAATGCTTCTGGAAAATCCTGGCTCGAGAATTCTCCGCAAATTCGCATTTCCTGATCTTGATAAGGCGATCCGTTAGGATGCCGCTGCAAAGAGCTCGGTACCAATTGGAGCACACGCTGAGGTTTTGCTCTGTGTACGCCGTGTGATAGTCGTCGAACTTGTCGACCTCGGAGAGGAGGGGCATTGGGTCGACGACGTTGAGCCCGGCCGCGGCAATAGTAGTAAAGTGCTCGGACATCGCCTCGTCGTAGGCCTTTGGGAGCATGAACATCAAGGAGTTTTCTGGGCCGCCGACGAAGGTGATTGAGTTCACACAATCGTGCTGAGCAGCGGCGATAATCCTGTACAGCGACCGCTGAACCCTGGCCTTTTGCTTTGCGGGCCAGTGGACTCGGTCTTTGATTTGCTGGAACGTTAGTCCCGCGCTCTGAGAGAGATGCCAGGTATAGCCGAGGTAGCCGTACGGGCCGTAGACATCGTTCCCGGCCCAGGAAACAATGATGTCAAGGCCGTCTGGGAACTTCACCACCTTGCGGTCGGCGATGAGCCCCTCAATGACATTGGCAATCTCGTGCAACCCTTTCCCCCACAACATCCGGACATGCGTAGATGCGATCCGTGGATCGATCTGGACGGCCTGCGAAAGCGGGGCCTCGAACGTTGTCTTGTAGGTGGCACGCCGGCTCTGGTGTTGACACAGCGCCAGCGAGGAGTCGCCGACAATGACAAAGTGCCCACGAACTTCAGTGGGAGGGGCCATCCTTTCGAACGCCGGTGTAAAGAAATCACCAAGTCTGGCAAGATCTGGGAAGACCGGTAGGCCCCGAGTCCATCTTTGAGCTGCACTATGCGGTTGCAGATGTCATACCGCTTAGTGATGTCCAAAGCGTGAGGGGCCTTGTAGGTATCACATGCCAACACCGCCATATCTCGGATGAGGTCGGCCATCACGGTCGCCCACCCCGCGAGGTTGAGATCTCCAATGATTTTGGATGGGGTATCTCCACTGTGCGGATCAAACTTCACACCGAACTCCCCGTACCACTTTTCGACCAGTTCAGGCCAAGTTGCGTCGGGGTTACCTTCGCGAAGTACCAACCATTCAAGGTTGGGGATGAAGCCGAGAAAGAGGCCAAGGTGGTCATGAAGGCGGCAACACGACTCTGCCTTTCGGCGAGCGTGAGCANNGGCAGCCATGATCGAGTGCTGAAAGATAGGGATTGCAAAGTGGGCGCGAGTCCGAGTGGCAGTTGCTGCTGGAACAACACGAGAATGGCCCTGCTCACCTGGCAACCTTTGGCAATGATTCTTGAATGATTTATGGACTGCTCTGACGATGGCTTTAGAGTAGGATTCACTTTCCTTTAAGCATTTAGCGTGCTCATGATTGTTCCTACACTTCTTGCCATCGAACTCTCTTCTAATTGTTTCACAATTGGTAGCAACAGTCCAAGGCTTCTTGACGGGAATACCATGAGAATCCTTTAATCCGTATCTGCATCCATCGAAGTTGGCTTTGATCAAGCGGTGCTTTTCCAACCATTTATGGACACGGTGCCAACCCCAATACACACATGACCTGGGCCATTCAATAGCGTAAGTGGGACGACAAGCCGTTAGACTGTGGGACAGATCAACGAATGACGCCCACAACTTGTTGAACTTCTTTCTGGCCTCGTATACCTTCTCCTTGTTACCGTCTAAAGTGAGGTTAACGTGTGACCAAGAAGTACCCCCCGTACACGGAAGGCTGGCCCAAACGAGAATTGGGTGGCCAAGTCTGCGATGTTCTTTGCATGAAGATGCGATACGTTTCCTAGTAGAAGGATCATTGAGGTCTTCATTCTCAGTGATGCGTATGACCTCACAATCTTGGTACTCTTTATGTGCGATCTGACCTAATAGCGAATCTTCACTGCAGCACACTTCAACGATAACTCTTTTAACTTGAGCTTCGGGCCTTTGTGCCGTGGCGTTGGCCCGGCGAGAGGTGGCGGCACTGGCTTTCCTGGATGATTGAGAATCCCTTCGAATAGATAGTAGCTTAAGTGCCTTGTTCCACTTCTCATTGCTAGTAAAGGGTTTAGTGAGGATATCGGCTGCTTGACGCGAAGTATTCACACACGCAAGGACGTAATGCTTTCTTCTAAATTGTTCGGAAATCCAACCAAGGTTAATTCTTTGGGTTTTGTCTGCATGCCTGAACGCGGGGGACTTGCCTGATTCCAGTATTCGGATTGTTGCCTGGTGTCCTCAAGAACGACGGGCTGAGTAGAATGCGGAGCAGCTAATATGAGACCGTAGTCATCGGGCTTGGCAACGGGATCACGCCTTTCAAAGTGATAACCCCCCGAATCCCGTATTCTTAAGATCTCCATGCGCAAGTCTGCCTCCGCTTTCGCGTGGCGCCTATACTCAGAACCTGATCTTCGATAGACGAGCATTATCGCCTCATCGGATTGCTCGGCAACATAGGTGCGGTTGGCAAGTTCTTCCCACGCAACGGCTTCCTGTTGATGATACCATTTACCCTTCCGAACAACCCATACGTCCCTTACAGGGTGAGTTTCTCTGTCAAGAGGGGTTTTGATATCTTTACCGTTTGAATACAGCTCAACAATTCTTCCATCAATCAAGGATGAATGACCTACGTGTCTGATAGTATCAAGCCATTCATCAGGATGCTTGGGAAGTTTGAGGGTTTGCTGGCTGAATTACTTCTCTTTTGATGGTCGAGGTCGGTTCGTGATTGCGCCTTATCTCCCCCCGCCTGCTGTAGGATCCCCCATATCGCGGAAGCAGGTAAGCCTAAGGCACGGAGAGAAACGTTAGCGCACACGACCTCTGCCTCAGTGGAGCTCAACGCAATACTAGTCTGTTTCTTGCTAAAGGCTGCCAAGGGGAAATACGTGTTAGGACCCACTAAACATAATAGACTACCGGAGGTGCTCTTAGAGTCGTGTTCCCCGGCATGGTCGCTGTCTGCAAAAAGACAGAGTTTGCACTCTTGTATTGCATCGCCGATGTAGCCTGACATTTTCATGTCCAGTGTGGACTGAACGTAACACATAAGCCTGCGCAGAGCCTTGTCGCAGTCGGGCGACCATTTTGTGACTCGGCTGGCTAACCCTTGCACTGCCCTAAGTAAGTCATACCTAGCCATGCGGGCTGCAAAGAGGAGCTTCATTAAAACCTTACTGGCAATTGGTGCAAGTTTACCTAGAGGCTCTGACTCGACGCTAGTCGGTCGTGCAATCTTATCCTCAGCGAACGGGGCGCTGACCTTCTTGAGGTCACGAAATTCCTGAGGAACAAGAGACTTGTACCTGTCAACAGCTTGTCGGAGAAATGAGCTCATGTCGTAGACGACTTCTCTAGCTTTGTTGTACATGCATCCCTTGTTATTGCTTAACTGATTTACGTCATAGAAAGTCTGAGCTCTAGCTTGTTTCTTTGCATCATTCTTGTTGCGGTTCTTGACTTTAGCAACTGCAGCCACAGCAGAAGCTTTATCAAGATCATCCGTGACTAAATATGTTCGACCCATCCAAAGCTCCCCAAGCTTGTTACCATCTGATGTGCTACCCCACTTCTCTGACTTATCCCCACCTGAAAGACGGTTGACCTCAGTGTAGCGTATCTGGCCAAGTTGCATTAGCGCTGACTCTTCTTTCGAAGGTCGATACGTTGCCTTCCTGGGCTGAAGGTGGTGTCTGACGAGTACACCTTCCTCAGGGAAGATTTCGGTGTAGTCTTGTGTAGGAGCAGCACCGGCAGGCTTGGCAGCTGGATCCGGAATGGATTTGTCGAACACATGCGCAAACGGATGGTCGTGCTTTGTGAGTTTGCAATCAGGGGATATGCTCACAACCAAGATACCTACCTAATGGCGTAGGAGTATCCATGTCGATCTTTGAACCGATTAGTTTCCAACCCTGAGACATATTGGCTTTTGGACCCGCCATCTTGAAGTCATCCACATAAACCGCTAGAAGCAGCTGGAGACCCTTATGATAGAATACAGACGGCCACGCCGCAGGAAAGACAAGTTCGAACCCCACTTTGCGTATACGCCTGTTTGCCGTCGGCTTGCTGGCAATCATTACCTGGGGCGTGACCATAGGCATCAAGGACTTTTCCTGCCTCCATAGTAGCGGGACTACTTCCTAATTCACTGAATAAGGCAGTATCGGAATTCTCATCCTTTACATTGTTGCCCTGAAACATGGTTCTTCCCTTGAACTTTCGTAAGGGGTCGCCAGCAGATAATTCACTGCCCTTCTCAACACAAATTTCGAATACTTTGCCAACATGAACTTTCTTACCTTTCTTGAGTGCCTCTTTGGATACGTCCTCCCACTCGCGTACAGAACCCATATCCCAGGCTTTCTTGAGCATAAGCTTATCCCATTCTACATCGAGGGATGCTTGCGCCTTAGGCTTAGACTTTAATTCCTTATGACCAACGGGTCTTGCGACCATGGCCAAGAAATCCCTAATTTCTTCTTCTGTAACCGGATGGCGCTTACTTAGCTTTCCCTATGTTCGGGTTCAGCCTCGGGCTCCGACAAAACCGGCATGGAAGGGTAGTCTTTTGTCGAGGGCTCATGCTGACTATCCTTTCGGACGTCGAAGAATGTCTGGCCAATCCATTTGAAGGAATATTTCTTGTTCCTAGTTCGGATATTGTGCCAATCATCTTCGTGGTTAATGATATTTGTCCCCCCGATGGGAACAATCTTAGTATATCTTGCTTCACTAAGATGCGCTACGTCAATCGGACAATCTGTGAGATCAGGAGAAAACTTCTCTCTTCTAGGGATACAATGAAACCTAACTAACTTATCCCCCCGGATCTCCCAGAAATCCTTGTTAAACGCAGCGGGCACAGAAGGATTTGATGCGCTGGAGCGCTCACCTTCCAATGCTTCGAGGGCTGCTTCACGGGAGGCTTCCTCGACCGCTTGATCTTTCTGCTTCTTTGACATTGCTGTCCACAAGTACGACGGAATGCTATCAGGTTTCCTAGATCCCCGTGCACCACCATATCTCCGGCCAAGAGTCCCGCCGGCATCATAGTACATCCCCCCGGATGGTATAGGAACCATTTTCCCTGTTTTGGGATCAACAACCATTGGTTCAGATCTAACCTCTTCTCCGGAGCCGTTAGGCCCGGGCTCGACCTCTTCAGCATCTTGATTCCTGAGAGACTCCAACACGGGTCGCTCAAGAGCGTCAGTGGCACCGCCCAGCCTTACCTTCTCGGCCCTTTCTTTTAGGGGAAATACATAATCGCCTTTGGGAACTTCGAACCTGTGAGGCCAATATACATGCGACAACCCGGCCTGAAGCAAATTGGTGCGAGTGCCTTCGGTTGACGATCGCACTGCCCGTTCTGCTACGGCGTTGGATTGGTGTATGTAGGCCTTGCTTAGTTCGTGACGCCAACCTAATGATGGAACAGTCTTGACCAGTTCTTTGGCGTTGTCGCTATAAAACAATCCTACATTGTCACGATTGGAGGTGAAATGGGTTAAAGCCCGATAACACTCTTCCTCAGATTTGAGGGCCGAGGGATATGCCTGCATGAAGGTAGTAGCCACATCCTTGATAACAAGGGCTAACCTTGAATCTTCAATGATATTCTCGTTGTCCCGGTAGAGAACTACATGATCAGCAGTAATGTGGTCTCCGAAGTCTTTGGCTTCTTTAGCAGTGACCCCTTTTCCGGAGTATGAAGGAGACTTATACATTTTAGCTTGCTGACATATATCACAATAGGGATTCTTGGGAGGGTGACATAGCAAGTGATGGGCTGACTTAGCTTCCTTCTTGAGAGCTTCAATCCCTCGTTTTCTTTTGGCATCTTCTGCGGGTG